TTTAAAAAAAAAAAAAAAAAAGGCCGGGTGAGTGGCTACGCCTGTAATCCCAGCACTTTGGGAGGCCAAGGCAGGCGGATCACTTGAGTTCGGGAGTTCAAGACCAGCTTGACCAATATGGAGAAACCCCGTCTCTACTAAAAGTACAGAATTATCTGGACATGGTGGTGCATGTCTGTAATCCCAGCTATTCCGGGTGCTGAGGCAGGAGAATTGCTTGAACCTGGGAGGCAGAGGTTGTGGTGAGCTGAGATCCTGCCATTGCACTCCAGCCTGGGCGACAAGAGTGAAACTCCATCTCCAAAAAAATAAAAATAAAATAACTTATTTCATACTCACATGTGCTGGAGCTTTCCTTATGTGCTGAATCAGATAGGATCTCTGCTTTAATGGCACCAGCAGTTTCTTGAAGGAAACAGATGAATTAAGTGCAGAGTAAGTGTAGAATTACAACTGTGGTAAGTGCTATGAAGGAAAGAAGAAACAGTTTGGAAAGCTATTACAAGAAAATGTGTCTGGTTTGGAGAGAGGGACAGGGGCAGGTAGGGATGGTGTCATTGGAAACTTCCTGGGTGTGTGACCTTTAGAGCTGCAAATTAAAGATTGAATATGATTTAATAGCTTATGAGCATCTTTCCAAAGGCTTAAGTGGCTTCTGAGTTCTGAAAGTCAGCTAAATTGATATTAGCCACATACAGACATCTGCATGGGTCAGTCATGTAGCCATTTATTCATCAGATATTCAAGAGAGCCTCCTCTATGTGCTGGGCATTGTGGTGTAAGTGGTAGGAATACAGTGGTAGGCAAAACAGGCATAGTCCCTGCCCTGACAAAGCATATATTAGGGACTCTCTTTTGTAAATTTGCTTTAAAGTCCAGGATTTTGGGCCTGGCACAGTGGCTCACATCTTTAATCCCAGCACTATGCGAGGCTGAGGCAGGTGGATCACTTGAGGCCAGGAGTTCAAGACCAGCCTGGCCAACATGGTGAAGCCCCATCTCTACTAAAAATACAAAAATTAGCCAGACGTGGTGTGCATGCCTGTAGTCCCAGCTACTCAGGAGGCTGAGGCAGGAAAATCACTTGAACCCAGGAGGAGGAGGTTGCAGTGAGCCAAGATGACACCACTGCACTCCAGCCTGGATGACAGAGTGAGACTGTCTCAAAAAATAAAAATAAAGGCCGGGCGCGGTGGCTCAAGCCTGTAATCCCAGCACTTTGGGAGGCCGAGGCGGGTGGATCACGAGGTCAAGAGATCGAGACCATCCTGGTCAACATGGTGAAACCCCGTCTCTACTAAAAAAAAAATACAAAAAATTAGCTGGGCATGGTGGTGCGTGCCTGTAATCCCAGCTACTCAGGAGGCTGAGGCAGGAGAATTGCCTGAACCCAGGAGGCGGAGGTTGCGGTGAGCCGAGATCGCGCCATTGCACTCCAGCCTGGGTAACAAGAGCGAAACTCCGTCTCAAAAAAAATAAAATAAAATAAAAATTAAAAAATAAAATAAAGGCCGGGCGCGGTGGCTCAAGTCTGTAATCCCAGCACTTTGGGAGGCCAAGGCGGGTGGATCACAAGGTCAAGAGATCGAGACCATCCTGGTCAACATGGTGAAACCCCATCTCTACTAAAAATACAAAAAATTAGCTGGGCATGGTGGTGCGTGCCTGTAATCCCATCTACTCAGGAGGCTGAGGCAGGAGAATTGCCTGAACCCAGGCGGCGGAGGTTGCGGTGAGCCGAGATCGCGCCATTGCACTCCAGCCTGGGTAACATGAGTGAAACTCCGTCTCAAAAAAAAAATTAAAATAAAATAAAAATAAAAATAAGTGCATGATTTCAGTAGAACAGCCCTGCATTTCTGAGTATATTTTCCTGGCTACTTATTGACTGTTTCCACAGTGGTCCCAGAGGTGAGTGAGATGGATACTACAAAGGCTTCTTATCATCTTGGTGGAAGGCAGTAGAAAGAAAAGGGAAACCTAATAATGGATGAATAGAGAATAAAGAGGAGCTTGTTTTATTACCTAGTATTAATCATTCATGTGTTCTTTAGCGGGGGAAATGTCTGATGAGGAGATCAAAAAGACAACACTAGCTTCAGCTGTAGCCTGTTTAGAAGGGAAGTCACCAGGAGAGAAAGCAGCAATTATCCATCAGCATCTCGGCCGTCGAGAAATGACAGATGTGATCATTGAGACAATGAAGTCCATCCCAGGTATGCTTTCTAAAACCCGGGACTGTCTTTTGTAACGTGAACCCTGGTTTCCTATTTTATACATGGTGTTTGATAAGCCTACGATTTTAACATCTAGCATACTTTTTCACTGCCTGTGTGCTTTTTATGACATCGTTAAGCCACATTTTAGTGGAGACTGGGTCTCTGTTGCCCAGGCTAGAGTGCGGTGGTACAATGTTGTTTCACCGCATTCTCCACCTCCTGGACTCAAGCAATCTTCCTGCCTCAGCCTCCTGAGTAGCTGGGATTACAGACGCCCTCTACCTCACCTGGCTAATTTTTGTATTTTTAGTGGAGACAGGGTTTCTCCATGTTGGCCAGGCTGGTCTCGAACTCCTGGCCTCAAGTGATCCACCCTTCTTGGCCTCCCAAAGTGCTGGAATTACAGGTGTGAGCCACCACACCCAGCCACCAGGGAGAACTTACCACCTAGTTCAGTGGCAGATCATGAATGTGTCCAGATAAACATGTTGTGCCTTCCCCTGCTCAGCCAACTCATTTCATCTGTGGAAGTGGATGTGTAGATAGTACTACATCTCCAACATGGAAGTGGTCAGAACTGGTAGGTTTGGATTTCAAACTTAGTAGTCTTGAATGTTTTTCCCAGTTAGGATTTCATAACGGAAGCACCCGCTTGCATTATGGTATTGCCAAATGTAATAGCCATCCTTGAGTTTCTCATGATGTTAATGAGATTTTTATGGGGCAAAGAGAGCTTTAATGTATGATCCTCTCATAAACTCAGCTGTTCTACAAATATAACTCTTAATGCATTACATTGTAATTACTCTTTTTTTTCCCCTCCTCCTTCTGATTCGGTTCCAACGCAATATAATTACTCTATCAAAGTTTATTCCTCTGACTTGAAATTTTAATCTAGTTCGAGCCCTTCAGCATATGTCCTATCCATTTATAATCTGCTATTTTTTAATTGGTGAAAGATGAACTAAAAACTACAGTGGAAGAAAGGAAGTCTTCAGAAGAATCCCCCACTGCCCAAAGAAGTAAAGATCACAGTAAGGAATGCCTAAATGCTGCCCCCGATTCTCCATCCAAACAGCTTCCAGACCAGATTTCATTCTTCAGTGGAAATCCATCAGTTGAAATAGTTCATGGTATTATGCACCTATATAAGACAAAGTAAGAAAACCCTTTTTTCTTTTGGATTTGTCCTAATTTCTTGTTTTTTGTTCTTTGCTATAGGGTAGTCTCTTGCTTTGGAGGGAAGTGGGTATTATTTTAAGCTTTAAAATAACACTTTTGTGTATTGTGTGTTAGAAAATTCTCAGATGTTTTACATTTGATTAATCTTGTGGATTGGGTCAAAGCTTTTCCTTATAAGAGAAATGCCAGAAAATACGTTGGAAAATGTTTTCTTAGCTGATGGGCATGGAAGGTGATTGGGGAATTGAAAGGACAAAGAAAATGATCCACAGAGTCATTGTAGTCTCATGTCCCCACCAAATCTTTACTGAAGAGGCTGCTAAGAAGTCAGTTAACTCATTTCAATTTTATCACCTCTTTTTACCATTTTCTGTGGTTCGGTCAAAAGTCTTGCTGGAGCCCCAAGGAAAGGAAGCATTTGGCTAGATAATCCACAAGCCTGGCCATTACCTCCCTGGATAATTGATAGCTGATACCTTAAGGCTTTTCTTGTGCTAACTTGTTTGCCACATCCCTATTCGGAAAACAGTGACTGTTCAGGTATCCATTTTGTGTTTTGTTTTGTTTGAGACAGTGTCTCACTCCAGCACTCAGACTGGAGTGCAGTGGTGCGATTCCGACTCACTGCAACCTCCCCTCCCAGGTTCAAGCAATTCTCTCTCCTCAGAGTAGCTGGGACCATGGGTGCATGCCACCACACGCAGCTAATTTTTTATTATGGTTGGAGGGGGTAGAGACGGGATTTCACCATGTTGGCCAGGCTGGTCTCGAACTTCTGACTTCAGGTGATCAGCCCACCTCAGCCTCCCAAAGGGCTGGGATTACAGTTGTGAGCCACTGCACCCAGCCCAGGTAGCCATTTCGGATCACAACTGTCAAGTGAGTTCACAGCATTACAAAACACAAATTACATTGTTGGAGGTTTTTCTTTCCTCTCTCTATTCTACTATTCCAGCCACCCCAGCCTAGGAACACTTCCTGAAATTTTCAGTTACATCCTCATGGTTTAGCATTCTCTCTTATATTTACAGCTCTTTTTCTAGGCCCTTTGAGAGAGATCCATAGCCAGAGTTGTGCTTTTAACTTACTCAGTGACAGAGTATTATTCAAACATTGATGAGAGTAAAACACTGCAAATTTGCCTAATGCAGATTTGAACCATAACAAACCTTGAACTGAAGATTAAAAATTTCAGTGGGTATAATGTAGAACAGTTCATTTGTGACATATTACAATTTTTATTTTTTCCTATTTTCTTGGACGTAAAAGTTGTCTGATTAGTGTTGTTTGAATGAACCATACCTCATCTACTCAAGTCATTCTATTGTTTTATTAGTAAGATGACCTCCTTAAAAGAAGACGTGAGGCGCAGTGCCATGCTGTGTATTCTCACAGTCCCTGCTGCAATGACTAGTCATGACCTTATGAAGTTTGTCGCCCCATTTAATGAAGTAATTGAACAAATGAAAATCATCAGAGACTCTACTCCCAACCAATATATGGTGCTGATAAAGTTTAGTACACAGGTAAAGGTTATTAAAAATCTGTTTGCCATAGAAACTGTGTTATTGAAACTGTATGATACTAGCTATGTTTGATTTACAACATTTTCACTTAAGATTGTTGATATGTTTTCTAAGGTAGAATTGTAATTCTAGATGTATTTCTAAATTCATTAGTAGAAATACAATTGTAACATATGCCCATCTTTTTTTTTTTTTTTTTTTTTTT